CTGCTGGGCCAGTCTTCTGTTTCTGGCACTGGCTAGCTGCTGTTGCTGCTGCATCGTAGCCCGAATATTCACTGGCATCGGCTGTTTGTTCTTCAGCATATTAGTAAAGCTTCAAGGTCGAACAAAATGGGTGTTTAAATAAAAGCTTTATTACAAAACATTTATTGGCATTTTCATGGCTCTCTAGACCAGGAGCTCCAGATCCCACGAACTTTATGTAAAGTGGTACGCTTAGATCAAGGCTGATGTGGGTCAAGGACTCCTCTGTTTCCACAAACGTGCAAGAATCAGAAACTTAGAAATGCAGGTAAGTGCAGTACATTCATTCAAAAGTGATAACAAGGGCTTAGGTTACTGCTTTTAGAAAAGTGGAAGGAATGAAAAACACGCAATAAGCAGATATGGTGATGACAGGAAACAGAAGATGTTACAAAGAATCAAAAGAGGACAAAACAAATACCCTGGGGTGCGGTAAATCAGACAAGTAATTTTAGAGGGAACTGGTCTGAGGTGCACCTTACAGGTGAATGGGAAACAATTACTGCACCCTCCAAAGTCCATGGAAGTGATGCCTCCATATCAACAGAAGAGTGTATCAAGTTTTCCCATTGTCTCTGTCAATCTAGTTACATGTAAAGAACAGTTGTAAGATTTTATAATCTCACCACATGCCATGGACTAAAACAGAATCTAGGGTACATGGTGAAAATGTTTTCAGGGGAGAGCCCCTGCACCTGTGATTTCATCAGTATAGGAAACCCAGTGGGTAAAGCCCCTTTACCAATAGAGAATGGCACTTACTCTGAAACTCAGGATCATGGAGATCTCAGAGGCCAATCTATTTCAACTGCCTCATTTTACAGAAGAGGAACTGGGGCCCAGATAGGATAGGCTCAAGGTCACACAATTACTAAGCTTCTGAAGCAAGATTCGAATGAGGTCTGACTTTTTAAAGTCAGGCCCCCTATACAAACACTTCTCACACAGTTGTTTGGGAATCCTGGGAGTTTAAGTGACCTAAGGTCATACAGCCAGTGGCAACTTGAACTCAGGCTTTCCTGACTCTGAGATGGCCTTTCTATCTACCCACACCCAGATGGGCCTTCATGTTGAACATTTTTTTTTTTCCTGGCCTGGACTTAATGATTCCATTGGTATAGAGAGCTATCAGTAAGGAGATACCCTCTAACAAAGCAGGTTTACTTCTGCCTTAAAGTCATAAGAGAGTTGCCCAGGGCACAGACATTAAATTACTTGTCCAGGGTTATGGAACCAGAATGTCAGAAGCAATATCTGAATTTGGATCTTTTCAATCCCAAAGTCTGTTCTCTATCTACTACATAATGCTTGCCTCTCACTGTGAATATTAAGTTTAATAACAGTTTAAAAAAATACCCTACTAGTTTGCTATATCTTACACTGTAATTTGCCTTCCATTTAATTAAAGGAACCACATTAAAAATTTTAACACAGAAATCTTTATGGTTTTACATTTTAACAATTTTACTTTCCTGTACTTAAATGACATCCCTTCCCCAAGTGAGTCTTCTTGAAAAAGTTATGCATTAGCACAACAACTTAGATGAAGAATGTGATGACGCTCCAATGAGTCTCATTTATGAAAGCTCAATGGAACAGAGAAGAACATTTAACAAAAAAAGAAGTTATAACAAAGCCCAAAGCAATACTGAAAGATGCAGAGATGAAGCAAAGAGGGTGCCTCTTACAAGGACCAAGAATAGCATTCAAGGGCCTTTGGGCGGAGTTTTGGCCTGCTACCTGCCTCTTACAGGCCGGACCACAATCCTGTCGGCCTTGGACTGGGCAGCAAGCCTCCTACAGCCAGGGTAACATGCTACCGTGCTGCAGCATCCCCTATATCAATGTAAAAAACATGAAGAAAAAGGGACGGTGTGAAGTGTTTTAAGTTAAAACACATCCCACCAGATTAACGGTTCAAATACTTTAACGTAAACAGCTACTGATAACGGGTTTTGAAACATTGCCCAATTTGCTTTGCGTACCACAATATGCAGCAACTTAAGAACAGAGGTCTTTAGCCTTCTGTTGATATTTAAGTTAGCTTTAACTTAAAAACTGGGCAGAAATCAAGATGGTTTTAGTATATTGGACCCCGGGGCCAATTTAAGTAAAGTTTTCTTATGTAGGAGTTGAAGTTTCTGTTGGCTGCCTCACCGCTCATTTAGAGACATCTTGGTGGTGCTTTTTAGCACAACTTTCGGAGCTGACTGTGCAGCCATCTTCAAATCCCGGGAATCTGTAAAGGATAACAGGCAGATTAAACAAAACAATAAAGATGACATTATCTTTCATCCTTATGAGGGACAGGCACAAACAGCAGTTAGGAGAGATATTATGATCTCGCTAACTAAAAATCAGTGGTCATTTTAAAGAAGGAGAGTGCATGATACAAACCAGGGGCTCCCAGCAAAGCCACAGAATATAAAGTGGCCCTCCAAACATAAAATTACCAAGTGAGGCCTATCTGCTGCCTCAACCCCCCCCTCCAGGAGAATCCAATAATGGTGACGCTTTTAAGCAAATGCCTCATCATCTGGCTTTTAGCTGGTCTGAAGGCAGGCTAGATACCGATTATGACTAAGATGGGTACTGAATAGACTTTTCTGAGAGAGGGAGTATGATAGTTGCGAAAATGCCTTGCCTCTTGGCGGTTTCCCAGGGTGCCCTTTACATAACTGCATCCTAACGCTTCCATCCTGGTCTTGCTCAGAACCGTTCTGATCTCCTTTCGCCCCCATGGAGCCCTGGTACCCCCAAACCAACCACCTACTCAAATTCAACCAACACTTGGGAATCCACCACTGTGTACTGAAGCATCCACCCTGCCCCTACTTTTCTCTCAAAGTTGACGACCCAAACCTATCATCTCCCCTTTCCCTTCTCCATCACAGTCCCTCCTCCGACCCCTGCCCCCGCAGTCCCTTTCTCTTGGTCTCCTCGCCCCAACCCCCGTCATTCCTCGGCCGCTCCTCGCTCCTCCCTTCTCCCCAGCCTCCGCCTCTCGGGGCCCGGGGTCCCCCTCAAACGCTCTCCTCCCTCGCTCGCCCCCTGTCGTTCTCCCTCACGAGCTCGCCTCGCCGCCCCCGCCCCTCGCTCTGCCCCCGCAGCGCATCCCAGTCACGTGATAGGCGCCCCCCACCCCGCAGTCGCTCCCCTCCCCCACTTTAATCGTTCCCTCTCTTCTCCCCACCTTACCCCTTCCTCTTCACGTTCCCCCCCCCAAATGCTTTTCTTCACCATCCCCCACCTCTGGCCCTAGACTCGGCCGCGCACGCGCGCACGCACCAAAGGACACGGACGCCAGCGCTCCGCCGGGGGCCGCCGCTGCCACTGCGGTTGCGGTTGTGGGGCCGGAGACCGGCCGCGCTGGGCTTGTCTGGGACGGGCGGAGGTGCTGGGCTGAGATGGAGGGTAGTTAGTCGCTTGCGTGACGGGTTAGCTGTTGGGTCCTCGAGTCCGTTCTTCTATTAGTCCGCCCTCCCGCCCGCTGCCGCAACCAACTCCCGCTTGGCGACCCGAACAAAATGGCCGCCGCGCTCAGAGTCGAACGGCGCTGGCCAAAATGGCGCCGGCGCGTTGACGTTGACGTGAGGCTGGCGCTCGCCCCAAGGGGGTGGGGCCCTGTGGGCCCCGCCCCCCGGCGTAGTTGCTAACACGTTCCCTGCCGGGGATGAGGTCCGTTGAGTGACTAATTGGTGCTTTTGTAGACCCAGCGTTTACAAACCTTATTCCTAGTGGGCGTTTATACTGCATGCTGGAGGACGTGTGCTCATCAAACCCTGACATCCTTGGCTCTAGCAGGCACTTGCTCCCGGTGCATCCCTAAACCTCTTTGACCCAGGGTGAGAACAGGTGGGCAGCAGTAAACCTGGGACCTGAACTCTGCGTCATTCCCTGCCTGCCCCTCCGCCACTGAACCCCCGCTAATCCCAACTTTTCAGTTAGTTGTTACTTGTCCTTTAACTTGTGCACTTCCAGGCTGTAACAGGAGATTTTATACTGTAACCAGTACCAAACTGAGGTTTAATCCAAAAGGTGTAGTAGTTGTTATATGCTTTCAAGTCTTGACTAATTAGGCACTCCTTTCACTGAGACTCAGTTTCCTCATCTATGAAATGATAGTTGGACTAGAGGAGGTAGGCTCTTAACCTGGGGTTCATAACTTGGTTTTTTTTACATTTTTTTTTTGGCTAGGCAATGGGGTTAAGTGACTTGCCCAGGGTCACACAGTTAGTGTCAAGTGTCTGGTCTGAGACCAGATTTGAACTCTGGTCCTCCTGACTCCAGGGCTGGTGCACTATCCACTGGCCATTTAGCTGCCCCCATAACTTGATTTTAAAAATGTTTTGATAACTATTTCAATATAAGTGGTTTCTTTTGTAATCTTATGCATTTTATGCACTTCAGAGTATTCCGAGGAACGGATCCATAAGCTTCACCAGTCAATCAATAAACATTTATTAAGTGCCTGGCACCAGATTGCCAAACGTGGCCTTGACACACAAAAAGTTAACAAAAAGAACTCCTGAATTAAAAATATTTAAAAAGTCTCACTCTAGATCTTATTATCTTAAATAATTTTTGGACATCTACCCCTCTTCATCTTCTTAAAGAGATAACAGCTTTACCTCATTAACACCTCCCCTCGACTTGGATTACATCCCGGTGAGGTGGAGGGAGACTCAGTTGGCTTGATCAGCCTTCCATGCCTATCTTGTCTTAGAATCTCATTACTTTTTTGGAAAGAGGGTTCCTCCCCTTTCCACCTTTCAAAGGGAGAAAATGAGGCATGCTGAGATTGTGCTATGTAACTCTACCCTCCATCAGTCTGGAACCCAAAATACCCAATCCCCAGACTTCTACAGCATCCTGGAAACAGGAATTTTCAGGAGAGTCATGACCCCTTCTAATAATTGCCCTTAGGGAGAGTTAGCACCTCTCCTTCACTAAATCCCAAAGGAGACTGACACCACAGCTTTTGGGAGAGGAGTCTTTAATGTATAGTGGAGCAGTACACCACAAATGCTATGGCCAAGTCTGGGACAGTGAACTGGGGGAGTCTGAGGGGAGAGGAAGGGCTAATGTGGAAAGTGAAGGCGGGAATGGGGGGAAGGGGGTTATTGGTGCTGGCCAGGGCTGGGCTGCTTGCTCAACTGTTCTCCCAGAAGAAGTTGTTGCAGGCCACGGTGAGTGCAGCCACCAGCACCACGTACTCCTGGAAGTCAACTTCACCATCTCCGTTCTCGTCCAGCTCCTTCATCACCTTGTCCACTGCATCTGCATCCTTCTGGGTCTAGAATAAGATAGACGGAGGTTTCTGTGATGGAGAGCTGGGAAGGCTTCAGGGGGCATGAAGAATTGGGAAGGAATGGGAGGAGGGGCTAACGACTGAACTCGAGCCAGACTACGCAGGGTGACTAGGACAGGCACGGAAGAAACTGAGAGTAAAAAGAACCAGGCAAATGTACTGAAATTTAGAGGGGCAAGGGATGGGGAGATGGGGAGATGGGGAGGAAGATGAGAGGGGTGTGAGTAGGCTGACAAGGGAAAATTGGGCTGGACCGGAACTTCACTACTTTGGATCTTTCTTCGTGTAATTAACGAAGAAATCCTCAGCCGACTTAAGGGTGAACTCCTTAAGAAGTGGGCAATGGGATTCATCTTTAGGTTTCCCAATGGATATCACAGTGTTTGGTATATAATCGGCCCTTAATAAGTGTTTGCTGAATTTATTTAAATTAATTAAGAGAGTTTCTGGGAAGCCTTCAAGGAATAGAGGAAGGACCTGGGATGGGGATTGGGAACATGACAGAAGGGAGACGTAGAGGTCTCTGGGAAAGGTAGCTGCTTCCCATTCAGTCTGAGTCCAGTAGCTGGCTCCCAGGCCCAGAGCTCTAGGGTACTCTCCCCACCCCCTGCCACCAAACACTTACATCCAGGAAGCCAGAAAGCTCAGCCTGCAGTAGTTCCTTCAGCTCCTTCTTGCTCAGTTTATACTTATCACCTTCCTTGCCAGAATGGGCGTGGAATACGTTGATGAGGGATTCCATGGCAGTCTCCAGCTCCGAGCCCATGGCTGCAACACACCTGCCTCCCACCACCCCCCACCAGGCCAGACAGGGATGAGGTCCAGATAGGAGACGCCCAGGGCTGCTGGAAATAAGAGAACCCTGAGCTCCTAAAGCCCTTGTATTGTAATGCATATATAGATAATTTGGACTCCATTCTTCATGATGTGGATTGTATCCTCTAGGACCGTATTCAATGTTATTAATTATTTATCCTTTTAGTTGACATTTTACATGCTCATTTATTATTCTTAGTTAACAGAAGCCAAAAGAACTGATTAATTCAGCCCTTACTTTTTTTTTTTTTTAAAGCATCATAGGCCTCAGGTCTGTAAGGGATCTTAGGGATGGATCCCAATTCCCTAATTTTACAGATGAGTAAACTGAGGACTAGCAAGGAGATCATATATTGGGTTAGTACAGAGCTTCAGCTAGAACCCAGATTTCCTTGACTTCTTTCTAGCACATGATGGTTTAAAAACTAAAGTAAAAGTTCAGAGAAAGGGGTGGAGGTTGAAGGCTCAAGGCTAGAGAGTTACTGGAAGGAAAGAAACAGGGGGCTAGAGGTAGGGACAGGGAAGGAAATAGAGGGGAGTTTGAAGGATAGGAGCTGGGGGGCTCCATAGTGGAGGGGTATTTTGGGTACACTAGAGAGAGGGGTAGAAACAGGGAACACTGGGCAGCACCAGGAAGCAAGAGGAATGCATTGCTAGATGGACAAAAAGAACATCTTACTCACGAGGCAGCTGGCCCTGGGAATGAGGGTGGGTCTTAGGAACCGACAAGTCTTTCTCCTGTCCTATTTTTATCACAGGCCTAGTGTGTCCTGCCCAGGCTAGGGTGTCTCTTCAGTAACTATCACTGCCCTCTCCGAACTGAGAACAAAGGGGAGCTAGGGATGAAGGACCACTTATGCAGAGTCATGCTCATGCTTTTTCCTAATTTCTTATAGTTGATGCCCTTAAATTCTCCCTCTGCCCAGGGGTTCTCAGCCCCCTACTCACATCCCTCTGACTTCTCTAGTATGTTCCCTCCTATTAGTTCCTTTTCCCCCCTACCCCCACCTTCTATGCTTTAGGATTGGTCAGACTGAAGTCTGTCTTGAGAACCAGCTCTTTCTAATCAGACCTGGATGGTGGGAATGCAGAAAGGAATGTTTGATTCTTATCCCCCAGAGTTGGGCTCCAGGGTGTGGTGGGGGTGGGGAAACTAAAAGGGCCCAAGTACAATCTCCTGTTTCCCACCAGCAGCTTGAACTTGAGAAGTGGAAGACTAGATGGGAGTGTAGTTGAGGTGATCAGAAATGAAGGGGAATTGTATGCCTGAGGTTCCATCTGAGTCAAGGTGCAAGGAATTAGAAGGGAGGAAGGAAAATGATGTGTGAGGTTATAATGGGGTATGACATTGGAAAGGGGTTTTCGCTCTGGGAGTAA